CCAAAAGAAGATTAAAACTAAGACAAGATGAGTGCAATTTGATTTTTAATAGTGTCAAATTATTCTCTTTTTAAATGGATAAGTAAAAGTTAATTACTGTTTGGAAAATACATTATGCATCTTATTACTTCTAGTATATCATATAACTAGAAATATATCGCCTGCTATTAGAGACAACAGATTGAAATAAGATGCATATAAAGGACACTTCAGCTGATTATTCAGAATCCATCGATTTGTATATTTCTAATAAGCCCAGTATTTTGTCTCCATATCCCATATAACGGTTCAGTAAATTTACTTTATAACTTTAATTCTCTATTCCTCAGTACAGTGCTTGTTTTCAGAATTTATCTTTAGTTATCTATCTCCTGGGTTCAGAACACCTTGCTTAAAAACTCAGAAATTGTTTTATACTCATTTCTTAAACACGGATTCTAATTTCTGGCATTTCAACAAGAAGAATTAATTAATTTATAATTAATTATAAATTTTGATAATTTCCAATTATCTAAAATTAGAAATAATTTTTTACAGAGACTGATGTTTATATGTATGTGAGAGTGCGTGGGTATACATTTCAAGGGCTTATTTCCCTTGAAAAATTGATGTGGAAAATATATATGTTAAAGTATCAACTTTGAAACTGTTTGTCTTTGACTTATTCTGAATTTCCTAAGGTTCCCAGTTAGTTTAAATATATTTGAAGACCAGAGCTGAATGAGATGATAGAATAACACCTTTTTAAGTAACACAATGCGATTTTATATACTGATTCTGCTTTCTTACTTTGTATGCTCAAACGTTCTAATTTACACTTTATATATCTCTATGAACTCTTCTTTGATCTTTAAGTGAATCCTGCATGCTAGCCACTTTATTTTGACATTTATTTACTAGCTAAATACTAAGTGCTACCCGCACAGACAGTATAATATTTAAGCGAACTCTGGATAATGTTTAGAATTTAGCTTTCTTATCATGAACATCTATTTTAATATTTTACCAGTCTACTTCAAGATTTTGCCAATAAAAATCCATTGTTATATTTCCTGGTTATTAAACTGAGGTGTCTACTTCCCTCTTTTCCAGCTGGGGTATTTTAATTAGTATGCTCAGTTAAACCCCAAAGTTTAGGTATGGCAGCCCAACACTGCTACCTAGTAGGCATCAACAGGTTATTGGAAGAGGAATTTTTAAGGGATAATGGAAGGAAGAACATCTAGACAGAGGTAGGTCCCTTCTCACTCAATAGCCAGAGGGAAGGGGCAGTGACCCAGGGGTGTGAGGTTTCCATTCCTGCAAATAATGAATGTTCTGGTTAAGCTCACCTCTTTGCCACTCTGAAAGCATCCCCATTGCTGCCCCTTCTCTCAGTGCACTGGGCTTAATGGGGCATCTGAGTATTTGCGGTCAGAGATGAAAAGGCTTTTGGATCTTATGCTCCGCTTGACAGCACCATTAAGTCTTTCCTGGGTTTCTAACTTTTCTCTTTGTTTTAAATTGTATTCCCTTTATTTTTCCATAATAATCCTCAATAATTTACAAGGAAATACCTAATAAGCCAGTAGGCTGAGAACTCAAGCAAAATAAAAATTTAGTTTATCCTCTCCTGGAGGGTAAGTAGGATTCAAGCTTTAGAAAGATGATGCATGATCTTGTAAGATATTTTCATTGAGGATGGGTAATATCCACCACATTTGAGGATTCGTCAGTTGGCTCCTTATGTTAACATCAACAACAACAGCCAAAAGGAACAACAACAGCCAAAAGCATTTTACTTACTGAATTTCATATAAAAATAGGATGAATATTTTATACTCTGCAGCATTTAAATGAAGAATAGACAGAGCAATAAAAAGTTATTTGAATAGTCATTGCAATACAGAATAAATTACTAAAATAAGTAAATTATATTAACTAGACATAAACTCCACTTGCATTTATTGGGCATCCACTAGTGTCAGTCCTTTTCCAATACCTTTTATAATTTTGTTTATTCCTTAAAAAAATTCCTGTGAATTATTTTTAGACCCATTTTAAAGATGAGCACACCAAAGGCTCAGAGATGATAAATAAGTTGGCCTAATGTGAGACAGTTACTACCAAGGGCTTTTAAAAATATTGTGCTAAAGTGGCATCTGAACTCAGATTTTTCTGGCTTGTGTTTAGTGCCCTTTCCATTTTACCACACTAAAAATTCTATCATGCTGTTCAGCTATCTAAGGAGCTCGATTCCACTTTTATTCTCTAAACCAAGGCTTTCTAACATCTGCATTACTGACATTTCGAATGAGGTAATTCTCTGTTGTGGGGAGCTGTCCTGTGCAATGTAGGACACTTAGTTACATCCCTGGTCTCAATCTACTAGATGCCAGTAGCGCCACCCCATATGACAATCAAAAATGTCTCCAGGATCATTGCCAAATATCTTCTGGGAAGCAAAATTGTTTCTAGTTGAGAATGAGTGCTCTCAATTCAAAACGAAAGTAACTAAATAAATGTGTAGTCCATCTGCTCAATTTCTTTCCTGCATATTAGAGACTTCAAGCAAAAATTATTTAGGCTTTATATTAGTCTGAACAAGTCGGGTTATGCTGTGGTAACAAACAATGCCAAAATTGTCATAACACAATAAGCCATTAGCTCTACAAGGCAGCTGTGCTCCCCGAGGTAGCTTCACATTCAGCCTTCCAGCAGCGCGGCATCCACGTGTGCTTTCATGATCATTGCAAAAGCGAAAGAGAGAGTGGAGAAGCATGCATACAGTCTTAAATATGTCCCTCTGGCAGTGACACATGTCACTTCAGCTCATATTTTATTGACAAAGACAAGTCACATGACGATGTCTAACACTGAGGTAGAGAGGAAGTTTAGTCCTCCGTGCTTAAAAGGGAGTACCTGGGAACACTAGTGAGCATCCGTAATATCTACCTTCTAATGTGATGTGCTTAAAAGAGAGTACCTGGGAACAGTGAGCATCCTAGTGAGCATCCGTAATATCTACCTTCTAATGTGATAGAGTTCTCTAATATTGTCTAAATGCCTTGTAACGAACCAGTGAACCTAGTGAAGTTCTAGGTGATGCGAGTCAAGTAAAATTTAAAGTATCCATTAGTTCAGGAGGGAGTGTACACATGTGAAATAATTGGTGAACAAGGCAATGTATACCGTATACTATAGATTATAATATGCATTAAATTTATATATTAATTCATAAGATATTTACATTTTTATGATATTTACATTTTATAATTTAAGTCTTCCAATTAAAGAGCATGGTATGTCTTTTGGGTTCTGGGATCCAATTCCAACATGTGGTGGAGAGGGTGATTCCTCTACACATTCAAGCAATTCTCTGGACACCAGCATGGTGTCCTACGAGTCAACTCAATTCTGACACTGTCTACTCAGAGACAGCATCAGATTCCATGGGTTAAGGTTCCATCCTACCAGACTTACCCTCCTCCCCTAGTGGCCCTCCTCACCACTTCAGATGCCAGTGCAAGTCCAGCCTGTTACCTTATACTTCTGACCAACTGCCTATAAATCAGAAATTCTCATGATTCCCTCCTTCCTTGAGTCTGATTAATTTTCTAGAGCAGCTCACAGAACTCAGAGAAACATTTTACTTACTAGACCATCAGTTTATTATAAATAGATGTAACTCAGGAACAGCCAGATGGAAGAGATGCACAGGGCAAGGCATGCAGAAAGGGCACAGAGCTTCCATGCCCCTTCCAAGTACTGTCTCCAGTCTCCACGTGATTGGCAACCCAGAAGCTCTGGAAACCTGTCTTTTTAGGTTTTTTATGGAAGCTTCTTTAAATAGTTATGTATGATTCAACCTTCATCCCCTATTCCCTCCAGGAGGTCCAGGGTGGGACCAAAGTTCCAACCCTCTAATCACATGGTTGAGTCTCCTGGTAACCAGCCAGCATCCTTATGTGCTCTCCAAAGTCACATTATTAACATAATAAAAGCCACTTTCATGTCTCCCAACACTTGAGAAATTCCAAAGGTTTTCGGAGGAGCTCTGTGCCAGAACCAGGGAGGAAAACCAAATATATATTTCGTATTTTAAATCACAGTATCACAGTGTGTCTATTTATTTGTTGTTGTTTTAATGTCCTTCAAAAATATTTCATAGTTTTTTTCTAGTTAAATGTATTTCTACATTTTTTTTAATTTTGATAATTTTTTTAAATTTGATAATTTTTAAATGAGATTCCGCCCCCCATACACATACACCCCATACCCCACACCCCACATCATTTCTACCTGGCTATTACAAGTACAGAGAAAAATTGTTTAATTTTTCTATATTTTCCCTCATCCAGATATCTTACCTTTAATATTTTCAATTCTTTGTAGTTGAGTCTCTTAGAGAGTGATTCTCAAGATTTGGCCCCTGAATTAGAATATTCAGATACAGAATCATACTTGAAAAAATAATGTTTTCTTTTTTTTAATAGGTAGTTATATTTCCTTCTAGTTAGCTTGTAGCATCGAGGAAACATAGAACATTAGATACTAATGGAAAGAATCTTTACTTTGATTTTATTTAAAAGAATATTGTTAGTTTCTGGTATTCAACATGTTTAAAAGGTCTCATAATATTTGAAATTTTTATATAGAGTTTTATACAGAAATGATTGCTGAATTTTAGCAAATGTATTCCAGAATTTATTACTATAACTATAGGACTTTTGCTTTTTTAATAATTTGTCAGTATTTATGTTGGTTGGTTTCCTAATGTCGAACCACATGTAAGTATAACTTGGTAGACCTATTTTTATATATTGTTAGATTTGGCTTGCTAATGCCTATTTTCTGGCATTCTAGTTAATTGAATCGTTTCCCCAGTTTTTTTTTTTCTTTCAATAATAGTGGTGCTCATATTCTTTATACAGTTGTTCCTGTGCCAGATTTAAAGGTTAATCGCATTTTAATGCTACATGTTGTATACAGCAACTCTGATCTCCATATATTATCACTAGAATTCTACCAAATATCTGGCTGGGTAGCTGCCCTCGCCAAGTGGAACATGTAACCATCAAACTGAAGCACGAATTGGGAATTACAGCTGTAATGAATTTCCAGACCGAATGGGATATTGTACAGAATTCCTCAGGCTGTAACCGCTACCCAGAACCCATGACTCCAGACACTATGATTAAGCTATACAAGGAAGAAGGCTTGGTCTACATCTGGATGCCGACACCAGATATGAGCACTGAAGGTAAGCGTCATAAGAATCTTTCTGGCTCCTTGTAGAATACATTTCAGAGAAGCTCTTGCTATCTGCTTATCTGCCTGTCTGTCTGTCTGTCTATCTATCTATCTATCTATCTATCTATCTATCTATCTATCTATCTATCATCTACCTCCCTCTGTCCCTCTCATGCTACCTACCTACCTAACTACATATCTACCTATCTACCCCCTCTGTCCCTCTCATGCTACCTACCTACCTACCTAACTACATATCTACCTATCTACCTACCTTTCTGTCTATAATTGACCTAATTATGGATGATAGATATTGAATAAAGATAAAGGTTTAATATATCTTTTGACACCTTGGCTAAAATTCTATTTAACATGGGTCTTTTGATTTGTTTATTCATTAAACGTATATTTATTGTGTATCTACTGTGTGTGTGGCATTCTGCTGGTGGCTGGGAATACAACAATGAATTAAGGCAGGCATAACTCCTCAAGGAGCTTATAATCTTATAAGGAAGACAAGCATTAATCAAATGACTACAAATAGAAATTTAAAACTATGATGAGGTTTTTTGTTGTTGTTAGAAAGATACATAGACATTGCTATGAGAGCATGCACAGGCAAATTGGACCTAGGAAGTGGGGTCAGGGAGGGCGATCTTGGGAAATAATGTTTGAATTAAGATCTGAAGAAAGAGTTGGTGTTGGGGGTGAGGTGGGAAAGAAGTTCCCTGGCAGGGAGAGCAGCTTGCGATGAACCCCGGTTGCAGGAGAGCATAGAGGGTTGTAGGAACTGGAAGGAGGCCAGTGTGGCCGCAGGTTGAAGAGAATGAGGGAAGCGAGGCTTACAGGATTTGGGTCACAATGAGGACGTTAGACTTTATCTGAAAGCAGTGAGAAGCAGTTGAAAGAGTGGGAGGCCAGGAGATGCCAAAGTAACTGCTTGTTTTGTTGTTTTGTTTTTTCCTCTAAAAGTGCACCTTGATTGCAATGTAGAGAACGGATTGGGATGGTCTCAGACTGGGTCTGGGGATGTTAGTTAGGAGGTTACTGCAATGCTAAAATGAGAGAGAATGAGAAAGATAACGCAGCTCTGGGTAGAGTGGTAATAGTGAGGCTGCATTTATTGCACAAGTACGGGCTGGGCATGTCTTCGTGAAGAGAAAATTATGGTGTGACTTGGGTGCTGCCGGGGTTACAGAGAAAAACAGGGCATTGTTTTGATTTAAATGGTAAAAGGCAGTAAGACTAGTCCCAAACTAACTGCAGTGCAGAGAAAAATGAGTCATGTGCCCTAGGGGAATTGTGGTGTGGGAGGAGCACCTTCTGTAGAGGGAACATGAGTGTTGTGGCATTTGAAGTGGGCATGCAGGTCAATGTGAGGGCAAAAGGGCCTGCCAGCTAGATGAACAGCATAAGCTGAGTCACAGAGGCATGAGATTTTAGAGGAATAATCTGTATTTCAGCCTGGTTGTAGAATAGGGTCTTCGTAGAAAAGAAACGGAATAACCTAAAGCCAAAGGAACCAAGTGACACTAAGAATATTACTTAGATGTCAGCAGGGGGCAGCAGAGAGCTATGAAAATGGCACAGGTTAAGGGAGTTTGGCCAAATGGCTATTCTTGGGGAAAGAAGGAAGGTGGCGATGCCTAAAGAGGAAACGTTCTATCATCCGCCTCCTTCCCCCAAAAGTGCATTATGTATAAAATAGTCTTATAAGCAATTGCATGCATTAATTCATTTATTTCCCACAATAAAAGTCTGAGGATATGTTGTAGTTAATCTCTATTTTGCAGAGGAAGAAACCGAAGTACAAAAAAGTTCAATAACCTGGACAAGGTAAAGAGCAGAGACACAGCCTGGATTTCATCACAGGCAGTCAGACTCAGAACATTGCTCCAGACACCATACCTGCTCACATGACGATTCACGCACGTTCTACAGACCGCCACACTCTCAATCCATCATAGTCATTATCAGCTGGAAACTGGCAAAGTTGCAAGTTTCCAAAGAGGTACCGTGTCTCCCCATAGTCTGTAGTTCAAAATGTGGATGGGGAAGAAAGACCTCGAGAATGACAGGTTGCCAGGACCTTGGCTGTCTTGGCTCTTTATGAATCTCAGGTGGTCCTCCTGGCCAGGCTGGACGTCTTTGTGGGTCTGTATCTGAACTGAACTGTCACTGGGGAGGAGGCATAATATTTTTCCTTAAGGAGGGTATAGTTTGGTTATTCCTCTAGGTAACGCTGATACAAGGAGCTTGATTTAGTCACAAGAACTTTGTCTTTTTTCAAGGGGAAAAAAAACCCAAACTGTTATTTGCACAGAAGAGAACTGGTTGAATCTAGATCTTATTTGTCCCTGTCCAGCTTGTTTCTCTGGTTTCAAAACAGAGAAAACTGTTAGGATAGTGTGTCTTTAGCTTCCAGAGAGCATTTGAATTTTCGCTTCTTTGATTCTGGTTTTATAGCATTGTTATCCAATTAGATTACTATGTGAGATGAGGCTCGGAGAAGTTGAAATAAGTATGCAAGCACCCCATTTCACCCATGCATTGATTGCTGAAGTCCCTGCTGACTAATTGAAAATTTGCATGATAGTTTGAGGTATGCAGAGAAGCCTAAGGGAAAACTATCCCCAAAGACCCACTGTAGTTGTATTAAAATTTTTGGGGGGAGGGGGTCACAGAGTCACCCTGTCCCAGTCATAACAGTGGAGCATCTTTCACACTGAGGCAGTTTAACAATACGAAATGACAGCAAAATGAAAGCTCCCACTTGAAAAAGGCCAAATCTCATGATTTGAGATAAAGAGATTCTTTGGTTCAGCATAACCTGGGGAGTGATCAAAGGGTTAATGGCCATTCTGGAGTTGCTAAGGAATTTTTGACCAATAGATCAATCTATGTGACTCACAGTATTAGCACAGTGAACATATAGATTGATTCTGCTGAATATTTTTAGAACTCCAGAGAAAAATCCATCTGGATGTGTTTTCAGCTGCAGCATAATGCTGTCAGATAAAGTCTGAGAAAGAAGACAGTTTGTTAGGTCTGACTGTCACCGCTGGTTGTCACAGACCTGTTACAATCAATTGTGCCATCGATCCTTATCTTGTACATTTTGTCATAGGCAGAGGGGTTGATTAGGTTTTTTCTTTCTTTTTAAATAATTTCGGTTTGTGTCTTTCACCTAAGACATAAAAAGCTCCCAAATCTAGCATTCACCTGGAAAAAAAGCAAATCTTTTGATTGAGATCTACTTTTCCTTCACACAGGAAGGACTTTGGTTGTGTTTTGTCCTCTGCCAGGGCAGTGCTTGAGTAACCAATGGTCTGCCCTGGTCTCCCAAATGGGTTAATGTGCTGCCGAGTCCTCAGCTACCCCTCTGTTGTCACCGTCTGAGTTATTTTCTCTGACTGAATACACTGAATCCAGCTCTGCCAGGAGGCAAAGACACTGACCTTGGAGCCACAGCTTCTTGTTTTGAGCCTTGTCATGACCGCGTGGGTGTGTGATACGGGGCGGGCTAGTTTCTGCATTTCGAAAATGGGGATAATAATGTCTGCCTTACAGGATTATAACAGTGGACTAAGATGATGGATATGAAAGTGTTTTGAAAATCACAAAGTTGGGACTAGAGTATTAGTCTCACGTCCTTCAGTTTCTACCAAAGGATGTTAAAGATAATATGAACCTTATGTATATTACATTGCAGAGGTAGAAAAGAAGATGAATTCAAATAGAATAATAGTATATTCGGCCACAAATCTGCCCCTGGATTAAGACAGGGGAGATATGTGTATGTGTGCACATGTTGGAAAGGTGGAAAGATTTTCAGGGTCACCCTTAGGTTAATCCTGTCTTTAGGGCCTCCCCTTCCCCCATTTATTTCAGGCCATAATGTCTCAGGCTGCCCATTGTACCCTTGTCCTCCTTGTAACCACTTTTGCTTGTTCATGTCATGCTTTCAGGAAGCTTTTGATCATTTCAGAGTTAAATTAGCCTGGAGGAGGTGGGACCAGAAGTTAGATGAGAGGGGTCTAGTCGTGTCCCAGGTCAAATCAGTATTATTGGGTTTTGTTTTATTTTGTTTTAATTCGTGTGCTTAACAAATGTTTTTTTGAGCATCTAGTGAGAGCCAAGGCCCGTTTTAAATTCCAAAGTAAGAATCACAGACGGTGGAGTGTTTTATCGGACCTGCACAGGGTTTCAGATTTTCAACTTAGTTGCCAACTAATTCAAATTTAAAATTTAGACTATTTTACATTAAAAAAAAAAAAACAAAAAAAAACAAACTTCATTTCTGTCTTGCCTTGAGGTATTATTGCTTTTAAGAATGAAAGCTTTTTATCAAATTAAGTTCCCATATGGAGCCTAAATGTATAAGATGTAAAAGTTAGGGCTCTGGTTGACACTGGCTTTATTGTGCAAGCCTTGTTCTCGGGGGCGCTCTTTTTATTCCTTGGTGGGCTCTATATTAGTTCAGGCTCCCTAGAATGGGTTTTCAAGTCGAGGGACGTGGGCACGTTAGGCACACATGGCCCCTCTAGGGTCGGGGCAGAGGCGCTAAACTCTTGGCAGTGTGTTATTCTCACACAGGGGTGAAAGCAGAGCATGGCTTAGGCAAGTGGGGTACAGTGACTGAAAATTCACATTGACAGCATGAGGTCTAGCAAGTACCATTGACCATGCAGGTTCTGGAAGGACAGTAGTAGAAAGATCCAGAAAGACCAGAGGTTTGGGAGTCTGCCTCGCTGGATTTGAGTGGCCATTAGGGAATATCCTCGGGAAAATCTCCGTGCCTCAGTTTCCTCAGATATAACTGAGGATGACAGCACCAACCTTACAATTGCTAAGAGGTGATTGTAAAAGAGCTGTTGCATGCATAGTGCTTAGAACAGCACTTGGCAGGTAGAAAGGGCTCAGTGAGTTGTCATTAAAATGGGGTGATGTGAAATCCTTGGAGATCCAGCTGAGGCCAGGCTGAGACGGGTAGGTATCCTGGACCCACCACTTCTCTGGTGCCCCTTTTTATTATGTAGTCATTCTTAATGTTATTTAACTACTTGTTTGATAGTTCTTAAGTGGGATGGCGAAGTGATTCAAGGAGTCCACGGGTGTGTGAAACCTGCCTTTAAACTGGGAGCCTCTGGGCACCTGGCAGCTGACATTTCCCTCCCAGGATTACGTGCCAGAGATCACAAACCTCAGACTAACGCATATCTCTTTTCGACTTCTAAACTGTCTGCATGCCTCTTGAAGAATCTTTTACAGATTAAAAAGGAAGCGGGGAGATGTGTGTGTCATTTGGTGCAGACTCTTCCTCGTTGAATGTCTGGCTGAGAGCAGGTCAGGGAAGCGAACCTGCTGGGGTCACATAAGCCTTGGCTTGGGTGGGCCAGCTACACTGACGCAGCAAAGGCTGAGCACCAAGAGCTGGGACGCTGACTCCTGCAGCACCTACTGCAGACGGCTATGGCAGTCTATTTGGATACTTGGCATTTGGATGAAAATCCACTTTAAAAAAACTTCTATTTATTTCCTGGCAGTGTCCGTGGTAGTTGGAGAGGTAGCTATGAACAGGGAACTTGACAAGTGGTGGAGCAGAAAGGAGCAGGAAGAACGCCAGCTTCCTGGGTCCACCAGCCGAACCCCTTACTCAGCAGTGTCACTAGGAGAAAACCTCCAGCCCCCACCCAGCGGGGCAGAAGCCCTGCGCCTGAGCCGGCCTCGTTCTGTCAGCAGGGTCGCTCAAGCTTACCTTGGAGGTTTTGCCTCCCCTGATCTCCCAACTCAAATAGTGAACCAACCACACAAGACTCTCCTTGAGGCGCACAGTGAGATATCTCTCTGGTACATATGATGTCCTATACTTTGTTACAGCTCCAGTGATATTTTGGTCCCTCTAGGAAGGTGCCATGGTTCACCCAGCTGTGGCCTCGGATCACCCCCAAATCAAGCACAGGGGTGTAAATCAATTACAGTCTGGATGCTCAGAAATCAGGTGACACGTAGGAGCCGCTGTGTCTCAGATGCCTTCAGGGACCAGGCAGGCAGCAGGCATTCGGGAGAGTTGGAGCCTCAGGAACCTGCACTGTATGCGCTGCCTAAAGGAATTCCAGTTAAAAAAGTCTCTAAACTGCTGTGTGGGGCCCGTGGCTTTAGATCCTGTAGTAAGAGGGATGAACAGGACAGCAGCAGCAAGTTAGCATATTATCCTGGCTTCCGTGTGGATGTGCTGCTGGTATCTCCCAGCAGGGTGGGTCTGAAGCTAAGGTAGACCCTCCTCCTCCATCTCTCCTGGGCGGAGAGATACCTGAGAGGGAGTCTAGCCCCCGCGGGGTCTTTGGTAACATCTGTCTTTCTAAGGCGCTGACACCCGATCTCCATGTGTCAAAGAGGGCATCTACAAACGGAAGTCTAAACTTACCCGAGTGGCTCTGTGGGGGAGAATTCTGGGCCTCAGTGAAGATCTGCAGTGGCTTCCTGTGAGGGAGGGGGCTTTCCCCCCTCTCTAGTCATCCAGTGGGGCTGGCGCTGTGAAGCTGTGGCCTGCGGAGGACACTTCCAAGGCCATTGTTATCTCCATGTGGTTGAGGACAGGGAGCAGCTAGAGAATGTCAAATGATAGGTACCCAGTTTGTTTGTTTGTTTATTTATTTATTTTAGGCAAGGCAACCCTCGGTTGACCTCACAGATTACAAGGACCTTGTCAGCTTACAATCCTTTATTTTTTTATTTTTTACGCCTACAGCACCTGGTCTTCCTAGGTGGTCTCCCATCCGAGTACTAACCAGGCCCGACCCTGCTTAGCTTCTGAGATCAGATGGGATCGATCGGGCTTCAGATGGGATTGATCGGGCTTGTTCAGGGTGGCATGGCCATAGACAATAGGTACCCAGTTTAGTTTCCCTCTTTCATCCCTTCTTGAGGTAATTTACACTGATCATCCTCCACCCCTCTCCCTCAAATCCACTAAATATCTTTGCTCTGAGAACCTGTGAGCAGAAGAAACTCCTGGTATCAGGAGGTGGTTTTAAGGGGATCCCCTCCACTAAGATGCAGGGGGGTGGCACACTGTGCATGTCCTTGCTCAGTGTGATGAGAAGACATGTGAGTCATCTAATAATGGAAATGGTATTCACGAAGCTGCAGTAACTATAATCACAGTATAATCATAATTGCCCAGGAAAGGAGAAACCGAATCCGTTTTCACGCACACAGGGAATGAATGAACAATTGATTATCGCACGTGTATCAGTTAATAAGTTTGCCATTCCATTGGACAAATGAAAATTAGCATACGTTGAATGAATAAGATTGACTCCTTTAATCAATATGGACTAATTCTATTTTACATTTACCTGGAAGATCCTTTTGGATTAAAGGAAATTCAGGTGACAGGACCTGTCAGGTTCTCTTTGAAATCCTCTAAACCTCTGCTGGATCTGTACAAACCGTTCTGATAGGTGTAAAAATCCATTCTTCTGATGATAGACAATGGTGAACTTTTTCTTTGAAAGGAAATTGTCACCGAGGCAGAAGTCACTCAAAGGAGCAGCCAAACCAAGCAACGGCACGGAGCTGACCCGTCGCCTCTGCAGCGCCCTTTCCACTTTTTTATTAGCAGGTTTTGATACTGTCTCACCTTTTCCTTCAAAACAAAGGAATGAAGCAGGCTCTGTCATCCCGGCCTCTCCCGGCAGAGCGCAGCGATTTCACGGTGCGCGGGAGGAGGGATCATCAGCGGCGAGATTGGGGCTTCATTATTCACGTGTCTGTGCTGTGCTTTCTCAATGCCAGGCCGAGTACAGATGCTGCCCCAGGCGGTCTGTCTGCTGCACGCTCTGCTCGAGAATGGACACACCGTGTACGTTCACTGCAACGCGGGCGTAGGCCGGTCCACCGCGGCCGTGTGCGGCTGGCTCCAGTACGTGATGGGCTGGAATCTGAGGAAGGTGCAGTACTTTCTCATGGCCAAAAGGCCGGCTGTGTACATCGATGAAGACGCCTTGGCACAGGCAGAAGAAGATTTTTTTCAGAAATTTGGGAAGGTGCGTTCTTCCATATGCAGTGTGTAATTGCCCAGGAAAGGAGAAACCGAATCAGTGTTAATACACGTTGCATCCCAATTTTCTTAGGAAGCCTGGGGGTGACAGTAGTACAATGATCTAGAAACAAAGGTGTTACCTAAAGAGAATGGTTGCTGGCTTCTCACCTCAACCCGCCTCCTTTAGTCTGGGGCTGACTTACCATTATGCTTTGGTCGAGCTGTATTGTCTTTGAAATATTTTACAAAGGAAGTTGTGAATGACACAGGAGAAGAGGCCACATGCAGCTGGGCTGTGCCATGTTGTGCTAGCATCAGACAGAAAGGTAATGCATGCAGTTTGTGCTGCCTGCAAGCGGACCAGCCCTCTGCTTCACAGACACTGCGTTTATTGTGTTACGAGTTGATGCCTGCACTTTCTTGCTGCCTTGTAATGTGTCGTGCAGAAGAAAACGCAGGGAGTTGTGTAGATTTCATCACTCGTGGGTGTGTGTCTGTGTGCGTATGTGTACACACACACAGACACACATCCACACATGCAAATTTTCTGCTAAAATTATAAAATGAGAGCTGGTCAGTTGCTGAAGAAGGAAGTAAAGGTGGAAGTCTGGACTATGGCAAAGTAAGAACTCAACATGACCCAAATCGATGGCTTTCTAGACCTTGTTTTTGCATCCTGTTTCAGTTATCAGAGTCTATTCTAAGGCATCACCTTCCTTATCTACCCATAACCTTGCGTGACCCCCAAAGCGGAGTTATTATCTCTCTGTTTTAATTGAGGCTCCATGAGCGTAGACGCTTGTCCAAGGCCTTACGGCTAGTCAGAGACGAGCTGGAGGTGCACTCAGTGCTTTTTCAACACAACTTGTTGCTTTGCCAGCAAACGGGAGTGCATTCCGTTTCCCTCTCTCAGAGTAAGGTCGATGTTTCTGCAGCAGTTTCTATGGCGAGAAATGGAACAGTGTTCTGATCAGTTGCCAAAGAATTTAGGAAAGTAGTTATATTTTGTACCACTTATTTTAAAACGTGGTGGACTGTCTCAAGGCCAAAGTGGCCTCAGCCATAACTCACAAGAGGAGTCACATTACCAAAAAAGCCCAAAGAATCCAAATTCATAGAAAATTGTTTCACAGCTTGGGAACGATCCTGGTTCCACACTCAGTTTAATACAATGCACTGTTACTGTGGCTCCAGAATATGCAAGTCCCTACCTTACCCTAGATTCTACAGGAAACACAAAAATGAACAAGGCTTTGCTTTTAAAAAGCTCATAGCCTGGAAACAGCCCCATGTTTAATCAAGTATAATGCAGGATGGAACTGTGAATGACATGCTAGAATAGGGGAGGGGGAAGTAACTTTTATTGGGTACTTCTTTTGTGCAGGGTGCTTTACGATCTTATCCAGTTTAATCTTGGCAGTACCCTATGAGTGATGTTTCATTATCTCCACTATATAGACGAGGAAACTAGGCCTAGAGAGGTTAAATCAACTGTCCAGGATCCCATGGTGAGTAAACAGATGAAACGAGATACAAAGCTAGGTTTGTCTGACTCAAACCCCATACTTTTCCTATTAAACTACAATGCTTATTGGATTTTCTGCTCCTTCTTTTCTTCCATAAATATTTATCGATAGATATTAGAGACTGATTTCGGAAGTGTAGGGGATAAGAAGGATGGAAAGTGGGTCCCAGTGAAGTTCAGAGGAGGAGAAGATGTTTAATAACTGTGAGACTCAGGGGAGAGGACATTTGATTTGGGCAGAGAAGGCTGGACAAGACACATTTCTCTTACAATTTTACAAAGTTACGTTTATAAACCAGGATTGAATAATATGAAGTCCAGCTCCCTTGCCAAAAATAACTAGAGATAACTATTGTATTAATCTCTTTATAGTCATGTGTTATGTAAAATTTAATCTTAAAAAAATGCAATATTTCTAATTATGTACGTGTGTGTGTGTTGTGTGTGTGTTGAATTTCCTTAATGTCTAAGAAGTCCAGTTGTATAATTTCTACTACAGAAAAACCTCTTTGGGTGGATTTTTTCCTTTTTGCTCTAGCAGGCAAAATCATTTTATGGCGATTAAAGAAAGTTTTGGAATAAACCCTCTCGTCTTCAATAAATGGGATGTCCAATATATTTCAAAATCACCTGGAAATTTCGCTAAATAAAAGCATTAAAAACGACCTTTGTGTACAAGATTTTTTTAAATGTTATTAATTTTGTCTGAAATCCAGAAGAACAAACTGTGTTTTCTTCTTTCTCCGTTTATTCCTTTATTTTTCGAAGGAGCAAACCAAGACCCAGAGGCATCAAATGACTCTTCTGTGGCAAGAAGTTTTAATTGAGGGTCAGAGGAAAGGGATGAGCTAGGAAGATCAGTCAGGAGATTTAGGATTGTGCTGAGGAGTCACTGGAGAATTCATGGCAGCGAGAGCGGACGGGTTGTTAGTGAGAGAGAATTGGTGGGAGGATTAATGGAAATGGGAGGAAGAGGAAGAAAAATGGCTAAAATGAGGAAAAGCGAAGTGAAATTTCCAAAAGAGGAAGAAGCAGGTGTTTCCTTTTATGGAGATAGTATTGGAAGGATTGAGAAGGAAGGTGTGGCTGTAGAAACAGGAGCATCACGGTCACGTTCCCAGGATGGACGGTGGTGCCAGGCATTCACCACAGCAGGAGAAGGGCCAGCCAGGTGTGATGCGCTGACCAAGTGAGAGGCTGGGCTGTGCCGTGGCTCATTATCCACTCGGAAAAAAAATCGGTAGCAGATGGGACTAAGAATAAGGGGGAAAGGCTGATGAAGCGACCTCTTGTTAAAACGCTAACAGCGGCAAGATAATAAGGGGAAAAGGACGAGCGACAGCAACAGCAACTTTGCTTTTCCCCTTCCCTTACCTGCTACTCCCATAGTCTCTCCCAACTCAGTTTCCAGTTGCCCAGGTTCCAAACCTCAGAGTCATTCTTGACTCCTCTCTTCCTTCCACACGTAACATTTAATGCATCAGGAATATCTGTCACCTCTCCTGTCCAAATATCTGCAGCCTAACTGTGTTTTACTTCCTCCACAGAACGATCCTGGATAGAGCCCGGTTAGCGTTCTCTAGACCGAACTTCAGAAATAGCTGCCTAAGTCGTCTCCCTGTTTCTGCCCTTCCCTGTCCCTCAGCCCCTACCACGGTCATGTGTACTCGCGCACGCTGGCTGGTGTGGTCCTGTGGAAGTATACGTCGGATCACATCAGTCCCGTGTTCAAAGCCTCCAGTGACTTGCCGTGTCACTCAGGGTAACAGCCAGAGCCGTCCAACGACCGACACAGCCTGGTCCCTTATTAGGTCTCTGACCTCGTCTCCTACTGCCTCTGCCTCCCTCTGCTCTAGCCACACAGGCCGGCTTGCTCTTTGAGTATTCCAGACAGGCTCCTCCTTCAGGGCGCTGGCTGTTCTCTCTGCCTGGAATGCTCTTCCCAGCTATTCACGTGTCTTACGCCCAAACCGCCTCCCGTGACCACGCTACTAAAAATTTCCATACCCCCCACTCACCTTTCCTCCATTCTCTGCTTCATTTCTCTTTATGGAACTTATTACTGGCCAATATGTTACATAATTTACTTGTTTTACTGTCTGCTCTCTCTCACTGCAGTGTAAACTTCATAAAGGTAAGAATTTATATTTGTTTTATTTGATGATGCGCCTAGAGTACCTATAATGGAATCCGACATGTAGTTCAATGAGTGAAGGGTAAGAATAGCTAATAACTACTAAAAACATACATGTTTTATGTGTTGTTTTCTAAGGGTTTTACATTCTTCAGCTGATTTAATCTTCCCAGCAATGCTATGAAGTAGATATTATCCTTATTTTACAGATAAGAAAACTAGAGGCATAGAAAAAACATGAACTTGTTCTAAAGTGAGTAAGATTTAGTAGAGTAAGCTCCTAATGAACCACCTGTATAGACTCTGGGCACACTCACTACATGTACTAGTTTGATAGGGCAGCCGTAAAAAACTACCACAAATGGGTGGCTTAAACAACAGGAATTTATTGTTTCACAGTTCTGGAAGCAAGAAGCACAAGATCAAGGTATCGGCAGGGTTGGTTCCTTCTGAGCGGTGTGAGGCAGAATCCACTGCAGGCCTCTCACCTAGTTTCTGGTGGTTTCCTGGCAATCTTTGACATTCCTTGATTTTCAAGAGCATCTCTCTGACCTCTGCCTTCATCTTCACATGATTGATTCTCTCTCTCTCACCTTAACTAATTACATCAGCAAAGACCTTATTTATGAATAAGGTCACATTCGGAGGTGCCAGAGGTTAGGACTTCGACATATGAATTTTGAAGGACACAATTCAAACCATAACAGTACCGAAAACAACTTCCCGAAGACTATAGAGCGTGATTAAAGCAGGCAGATTTGAAGAGATTAGAAAGTTGGAAGAAAAGACCAGAATGCGTAGAGTTTTCCATTTTTACAGATTTAGCCTGATGTCAGGCCACAACTACAATGTTACTGAGATGGGAAAAATGCTGACAGAAAACCCTCTCATCCTTGGTTCAGGAAACTGGAGCTGAGCAAGATCAAGCATTTCCCTTGTGATGGAGATTTAGTTCAGGAAAAAACATGTGAGTTACATGAAGAATTTCTGGGAGCTTCTGGGTAAAGTTTTCTCATTCTTAAAAAAAGAACAACAGAAAGAGATGCCCTTTCTTGCTATGGTGGAGGTTTTGTGTAGATATGTGATCCAGGCTAGTGGAATGATCTCCCTACCAGCCTCAGAACCGAGCCAGCATGAAAGGATACAGAAAAGAGAACTGGATTTGCAGCTTCTAGATAAGTTGACCCTGAGATCCTCCCAACTTCTTGTCTTCTGGTTGTGTTTAACTACATATTTGTCTGTGTTTAAGCCAAGTGGAGTTGGGTTTTTCATTGCTTACAGCTAAAGGCATTGTAATTGGTACACCACCAATATGTAATTCTTATCTTAAAAATAGTATTTATTTTCTCATAATTTATGGCATCAAAACGTATTATGATTTCTTATGTCATTTAAAGAATATATGTTTTATATTTGCTTCTACTAGGTTTCAGAGGGTAGTTCTTAAAAAGGGAAATGGATGCTCTTGAATGATGATCTGTAAATTAAAATGTTATAATGGAGAAGAGTAGCGTGTAGTGTATCTATTAGACTTCAGAACATTTATATATTTGTGATTTCCAATTATTTGCCTTTGAGCAGTGGTTCTTACCTACTCAACTGAAAGTCAACCCAAAGTGAAAGATATTGAAAACTCTTTATTTTTCTTGGCAATAAATAAGCACACTGCAAAGAATTACACCTTCAGATCATCTTGTCTCTATGGGAACCAGGTAAACTTAGTATCTAGCCAAATAGCTAGTTAAAAATGAATGGACTGGGCTGGTCTGAAATTTATGACTTCTTTTCTCTACCTCTAGACAGAAATCACACCGAGTATAATTTTTTTTTTTTTTAAAGAGAAGAAACATAAGAAAAAAGTAGCATGTCAAAGAAGCAGCAGTAAAAATAATGGACTTTTCGCAAATGGAATCATTAGCCCTGAATATATAAATTGGGTTTTTACATTTTAAAAGTAGAATTCTCAAATAAATAAATAAATAAATAAATAAATAAATAAATGTAGAATTCTCTAGTAGAAATTTAAGTGAGAGATTTTAAAAGATGATTACTATGACAATATTCAGTGCTTCTACCTGTATACTTATAAACTCAGACCAAGTTTTTATCTAATACAACTTATATTCAAAACTCTAACACAAAACACAATCAAAACATTCTTTCGTCGAATAATTAGCTAATTTTCTCATGTGGGATCATTTCAAGGTTTGGTAAAAATGTATTTGTATATTTCATATTATTTGTCTTCTGCTGAGAAGCTCTTTTATCATCTACAGATGTCCCTTAAGTTTTTTTTTGTTTATCTTCGATTCCTTAGCATTAGTTTAGTGTTGACATAAAATATGTGGTTAGTATACATTATAGTAGGCATGGAATAGTTAAACAGTTAAGCTCTAGTCTCCTGTAGCTACGGGATATGATAGGATATCCAAGAATCTGTCCAATGCAAAAAAAGCTCTAAATTCGAGTACAATCTGGGAGTTATCATTTAGCTCCAAGGACAGAAACCTAAGAACAAAGTCCAGAGACAGCTGAAAAATGGTCGGAGGCAGACAAAAAATGTGGGGCATTCAAATAAAAAGACAGGAAGAATTCCCATACTGTAATTGTATCAGGCATTATACCGATATGACTAAAGGAAATACTGCTTAACATTCAGTGAATATGACCGCTATCATTTAAAACCTAAACTATAAACAATTAGTATTAAATGATCCGGCATAACATCAGAATAGTATGGATTACAAAGGAGAATGTCAGAATAAACTGGACGGTGAAAAAATAAAGAGCGGGACCTGAAACACAATAGAACCGAATTGTCACTGTCACACCTATCAAGGCTTTCATCAATTTCTGGTGAGAGAAAACTCAGAACTCACGGAATATAATTTAGTTTGCTGGATATAATTAAGAAACGAAGTACATTTTTTATTGAATAAAGATCCTTATTGTTGCCTTCTTAAAGTTAAGTAACAAATCCAAAAATGGATTTATGGTCCAGACAATTTCAGTGAATATTTTGTATCTATTGTGGACAAACAAAGTGAGCATCCCTCATATTTTACAGAATGGTGTTCAAAGCTTATTATGCCTGTTCAGCACTCAATCACGTGTTTACTGTGATTACTGATATATTTCGACATTTTTCTATTTATTCAGTTTTTATTTCAAAAGTTTTCTGCTCTTCCTATGTTTTATTTTCTCCTTTTTTGCTTTTATTTTTGACTTTGATTATACCTTCTCCCCAACAACATGGAAAAAACTTGAACGTTGACTTATAGCCACTGGTCTTTAACTTTTCTTCATGCTGACATTATTACAATTGTAGTTGAGTTGTTTTCGATACACTTTCTCTTTTTCTTTTTGTATTCCTGACTTTAAAAAATCTGTTAAGGAGGACAAA